CCACAAGGTTACTTTTGATATGGAACAAATCCACATCTGTCAGATTCTGTCAATATTTTTACGAGATTCACACAATAAATAACGTTTTGGCTCTTTGAAATGTGACCGATCGCTGTAGCGCGTCAGTTCAAACGGCACGTGATACAGCAGCCTACAAATCCAAATCCACTGCTTCTTAGCTACGCAGCGTTGAGTGAACCTATGAAAGAGAACATCTCTGGTTACTGGTGTAACCTATGTTCTCTCAATAGGGAACGAGACGCTGCCAAGCTCCTTGCGCTGCCGACCAGCTTCCTTTTTCGGCAAAGAAATCTGAGGAGCAGATGGCGCGCGCGCGCCAACATAATATGACGACGTAAGTGCGTCGAGGCGGCGCCCGCGACATCAGCCAATGAATTGGCTTGATTCTATATGGATTTAGACTATCGGCACACCCAGAGGGCGTTCTGACGCGTAATTTTACACGTGAAATGCAGCCAAACCTTGCGAGCAAGAGCGCGCATGCGAGACAGAAGAGACTGTGCGTGTGTGTGTGCGGGTGTGCCTAATTAAGTCAGGCACCGAAATCAGGCACCAAAATGGGCTTTATGCACAGCTTCACTACTTCCTGAACTTCAGCCAGCCCTTTGTTTCCTGTCTGTCATTATTGGACAAACTGATTAATCCAGGTGTGCCTGATTATTGTTACTGAGGCCAGGCACACCTGTATTAATCAGTTTGTCCAATAATGACAGACAGGAAACAAAGGGCTGGCTGAAGTTCAGGAAATAGTGAAGCTGTGGCATAAAGCCAATTGTCGTTCTTATTCGGTCTAGTTACTACCGTTTACGTCGGAACCGGTTCCCTATTGGCACCGAGTTTCGGTACCCAACCCTATTGTTAACATTTTTGAATTTGCTTTTATTTTTGTATTTTTAGTTTTCATTTTACTTTTAGTTTGAATAATTTTGTCTTGTGCTTTTGTCATTTGTTATTCATGTCATTTCAATATAGTTTTTTGTTGTTGTTTTGTTTTAGTCATTTTAGAACTTAACTTAATATGAATTATTTTAGTTCGTTGCCTTCCCAACACTGTACTATTTTATTTTTGCGTTTTAGTTTTTCATCTAATTTATATATTTTGTTTTATTTCAGCTTTATTTCACTCACCGAAAACTTTTATTTTTTTGTTTTAGCTCCAGATTGATACTGTTCATGAAACCTGTCCGAAAACAACAGTTATTTGCTCCTTTGTTTAGTGATGCTAGGAGCAATCTGTAAAAGTATTTCTTTAAAATTAAAATTCTTCTTCGCAAAAGCAGTAATGTTGGTGCATCTTTTACCAGAAACACAAGAGGGCTCTCTTTTGACTTGAGAGATAAAAGATGTCATATTGGACTTTATAAGATTATTTCACACATCTTGTCCATCCATCACCTGTCAGCAATTTTTAAAGTGGACACAAACCACAAATAATCTTTCAATTCACTGGGAAACCTCAGCTGCCCTGCGGTAAAGTCAGTCCATCCATATCTTTCTCTCTGAGCTTCCCTCAGTGTTTTCTTGTCTTAGATAGGCCTTCTTGATGGCTTGCAGTCACTCTCACATTCGCTCTTGTCAGTCTGTGCTCCTGCAAAACTTCCTGGCATGTTGCATTCATAGAAGTGTCAGTCATCTTCTGTTTGGGAGAGTGTTTTTTCCAAGACATCTATAGTCTTATCAGTCCACACATTTAATTGTGTGGCTGCTGCGGTTCCTGTCAGCGGCTCTCACTGAAGTGTGTGTGCGTTTGTGGTGCAACGCAGACCTGTGTGTCAGATGCAGCAGATGTCTGACATTTTGTATCTAATGAAACAAAGGCAGACCCTTTGAGTCCTATCAGACTCCTGTTGCCGCTCTCTCTCTCTGTCCCTTTATCTCTGTCTCTATCTTTGGTTTTCTAAATAAAAACAGGATGATGTTTGACATGAGCAACTTAATCGCAGCACAAGGGAAAAGAGCATCGATGTGATCCACATGACTCTTGGACTGTCTTTTGCTGTTCAACATTAAGATGGCTAGGTTTTGGAAATTAAATTGAGCACAATTCTTTTTGGTCAGAAAATGATTGAAATTTCCAATGCCATTAATAATGAATTTAAAAAGATGGAACATTTTAATATGATAGATTTTGACTTTGGTAAATTGTGTAAATAAATAAACAAACAAACAAATAAATAAATATATACATACATCTCAATAGTAACAATATTATTTTTACAATACCTTTCAAAGCATTGGGGTCAGTAACATTTAACTTGAAAAAAAAGAAGAAATTAATGCTTTTAATCAGCACAAATGCATTAAATTGATCAAAAGTGACAGTAAAGACATTTACAGTATACCGTTAAAAAATATATCACGGTTTCCACAAAAATATTAAGTAGCTTATCTGGTTTCAATATTTTAACATTTTACTTTAATTTGCATTTTTTTCTTCTTTTTTTCTTATATTTTTCTTTTTTATGTTTATGCTTAAAGCAAGAAAACAAATGCCAGTGTGAAAAGAAAAATAAACTTCCTACTGGCTACTGAAAATGGTAGTGCTTACTCCTAAGTTCAACCAGGGACATAAGCCACAGAAGAAGTTGTCATAGTTTGGGGACTCTTTAGATCTATCTCCCTGATTGATCTGGTCCAGGAAGAAACAGCTGTGAAACTTCCAACTGCTTAGTTGACTCATGTTACCCAAAGCACTGAACCGCATCTTGACCACTTGACTACTCAAAGTGGCACTGGCCGTCTGTGGAGCCGCCTCCTCTGCACACAGTCTCAGGGGACAGGGCCACTGGCTGGGGTCTTCATGAAAGGGTAACGTGACGAATAACTGTGGGTTCTGGGTCATAAGGGAGCTCTGGAATGCTGTGTGCTTATTATAACCCTTATAAATGATGTAAACTGGCACACCACAGCCCCCAGGACTACCCAGACTCCCCCTGGGCAGAAGGACACAGAGTGCTCTCAAAATCAATGTCACTGTCTCGCTCTTTTATATATAAAGGAACTCAAACATACTCATGTTTACTTAATCGAATTGATAGAAGCCATAGATTTATTTATTTATGTTGGCGAGTCTCAAACATCCATCCATCCATTCATCGAATAAGATGTTTCAGCTTTTTATTCAGAGAGGATGGATTAAATTGACCAAAATTGACAGTAAAGACTTTAACATTGTTACAAAAAAATTATAAAAAAGTCTATTCAATTTTTTTTTTTTGATGGATGGATGGATGGATTATTCTGTCTGGTTTTAGAACTGTAAAGTTTATTTAGGTCATTTGAGTAATTTCTTTATATTTCATCAGACTTTTTTCTCCCCCCCCCCCCCCAGACTTTATTCAGTGTGTTGAATTGTGTTTGCCCATATGACTTTGTGCTTTGATTTAAACTGGATTCAGTGCCTGTTAGCTACAAACCCAATTCTCAAATGGGATGCTGCTCCGTTTACTCCGTATGCAGATGCAGAGGTGTTTACTATTCTGCACATTACAGTAAATTAACTTATGATTGCTCTAACTTGATGTGTATCATGCTGTTTTTTTCTTCGCCATCCTTTAAGTTCCTCCCTTCTAATCAAGCGTAATGACACTCCACTTCCTGTCGTTACTACACGCTAAATTTAAATTGCAGTAACTCCTTGTTGGGCAAAATAAATATGTTTTTCTGTAATGGTGTTGACAACCAGTGAGAGAAAAATGCAGAAACTCTTTAGTGATGTGTGATTTGCTAGGGGCCATTTTGGCTCCGGCCAAACGGTTTGTGCCAAGAGCCAGGATGGCTGCCAGTTTCTCAAACAATTGCAGACACCTGTGATGAATGGCTCAATGGTTTCAGCTCCACTGACCCAGCTGCACTTGCATGGGGTTGTGTATGGAGACAAAAAGGCCTGTGAGCAGGAGATAGACTCGGGGTTTAGAAAACCCCATGTTGCTTCAGGCCTGTGTAGAAGGATTTGACATGAAACAGCAATAGTGGAAGAGGTTTGGTTTTAATTGTTTTGTTCTCCATGTTGTATGTTTTTAAAAAGTTGTGTCTGAGTATATTATGATAGTTTTGCACACTTTCATTCATCAATTTTTCTTCATTTTAATTTTGATTCATCTATTGAATAAATTTGAATATTTTGAAATATTGATGTTAGAATCTACTAATTTCAAAGATTAAGGCCTGTTCACACCAAGAATGATAACTATAAAGATAAAAATAATGATAACTATAAAACTGTCCACACCAGAGGAAGAGTGTTCACCAGTTTCGTTCTCTGCTCGATCTCTTTAAAGCAGGATTGATTCTGATTCTGAAAATCATTCTGAAAATATTTTTTCTCTGTGCCATTATCATTACAGTTGTGGTGTGGACACTGCTATTCCTTTATATTTAGAACGATTTTTAGAGCTATATCTTTATCGTTATCGTTTTAGTTATTTATTATCAAATTATCTATTATTTCATTTATTTCAATTTGATTTTAAATTTTTATTTTCAGTTTAATTTAGTTTTCATAGTTTCAATCTATCATAAAGTTTTATTTTTATTTTAGTTCTTTACAGTGTTCTAGTTTTAGTTTATTTACTTTTAGTATAAGAGCTACCATGTGCTAACTGGTATAATTTAAATTTATTTTAGATTAGTTTGTTTGGGAGTCATGGGAATGTATTTTAGTTTCATTTTATTTTTATTTTTAACTATGTTTTTAATTTACATTTATATTTGAAAACTGATGGAAAGTCTATTAGATATAATTATGAGATGTACTTTTTATTTTATTGACCTATCTGATCTACAGCCACTTATTAAGGATCAGCCACTGTGTGTGATAATGTGTAATTGATGTTCATTAAGTGCTCTGTTGCATTTGTTGTTGTTTAATTTATTACAAACTAACACATGAACCATGAGATTGCATAAAGACCTCTTTAGAGCACTATGATGTCTGCTTGACTCACCTCTGAGCTGCAACATTTGTTTTGCTTTTGCAGAGAGACATGCTGGACGTTAATCAGATTATGAAGGACTTGGCCAGCATGGTGCATGAACAAGGAGACACCATAGGTGAGATTGTGTGTGTGTGTGTGTGTGTGTGTAAGTGTTTGTGTTTGTGACTCTTTGTTTCCAGTTAAGAGTCTATTGACCCATCCTTGTTTGTCTGGCCTTTTATTGATAATTCCCCCCCCCCCCCCATATCCATCCCATAATCCCCTGCTGTGCTGATCTGAAGTTTCAGGGGAGAAAACAAGACATCACCTTCACTAGCTCAATACATGACAGACAGAGAGTTAGTCTCTACAACGCAAGGCCTCTAGAGGAGACTAAGATCAGAGAAGATCCTCAAAGATTCAGTTTATAGATAACCGGCAGAGAAAGACAGGGGAAGCATGATTCAGGAACTGAAGGTGTTTTCACATAGTTCATTTTAAAAGAACCAAACCCAGTTCACTTAAAGTGAACTAGAAAGGGAACCATCCGAAAGTGAACTCAGTCCTTTTGGTTTGCACAATATAGTGGACTCAAAAGAGAACCTGGTTCTTTTTTTGGTCTTCTTCAGCATTGAATTGATCTCAGACCCTTTGTTGTTCACACCACAACCTCAAAAGAAGTCGGATCCCAGCTTTCTGTGCATTTTGCATGTGCACACTTCCACCTTCGACAACATCTGTCAGACAAGCACAAGAGCTTGCACCCAAAATTGTATCCAGGTTGTCGTAGAAGGGGCAGGAATCCTTCATTTCAGCTGACTCCCCACTTCGACACATTTTGTCACAGGTGCTCTGTCATTTTTTTCAGCCACAGTAGGTGTAGGCCTATTGAATAACAAATGTAAATAATAAAACACTATACATAGACTTTATTATATTGAAATTATATGTTGATTCTTACTTAATTCATCTGAAGTTTTACAGTGGAGAGCAGTGATTTTTTCTTTTGTTGTTTTATTAACATTAAGGGCTAGTGGCAGATTTAGCAAATCTCATAATGCATATCCATTGTCATACCTCACATTATGATGTTATGCCTAAATTCACTTGTAGCATTAAAACAATAGATTTGAATTTTTAGTGTTTTTTATTTATTTAGAAATAATAGTAAAGAAATAATACAGAATAGCTTTAATATAAACCATAATATTAAAATAATTATCAGTTTATCTGTATCAGCCAGATATCAGTGTATCTTAAATGTTACTGTAAGTGAAAAAAAAAACAGTGTCACTGATGTTTCACAAATCTTGGAGGTATATGTGACCCCGGCCCGCACACAAGTGAAGATGTAATCCATGAGCATTTGTGTCAGATGTTGAAAACACACATTAAATCCTATTTTAAAATACTTTTCACTTTTTTTTAGCCTTTTCTATGCTGAAGTATATAGAGTGGAAAGAAAGTCTTACATACAGTATGTAGAGCTGCACGATTTATCGTTAAAAGATCGCGAACTTGATTCAAACACCCATGCAATCTCATTCCTAAATGATAGTGATTCTGTCTATTAAACCTTGACAAGTACGATCACAGTGAAACAGCGTTGGCGCTGCCGCTGATCCAGAGACAGCAGTTGTCATGTATAGCGAAACAGCTTCACAAACAGTCTTTTCAACCACACAGTATCATTATTTCTGTCTTACAATAATTCAAATGATCACAGCAATACTGGAATAAAAGTTTATACAGTAGTTTGTATATAAACACTGATGTCTACGCTAGCGATCAAAATAGAGTAAATCACCCTTTAAAAAGGTAACTTGACACTTCATAATATAGATTGTATCAGTCACATCGTTACACCAGTAGGTGGCGACACGTGACTATTATAAAATGTTCAATTGTCATTGAATCATTCATTCAAACGATGCTAATTCATCCAGTAATGAAACGTGTAGTCTTTATTAGTCACTGACTCATTAATTCAAACCAATTTTTTACAAAAATAATTCAAATTCATGAAATATATATTTTTAAATAGAATGCAGCAATTAACATTTTTAAACTTAAATGTCCCTTAAATATTTTTCTAATTTTGTTGTGAGTTCCACTCATTCCTGTTCTCCCCTATTGTTGATCACAGATTGCTGTGCGTGAGCACACATTGGTATTTCATTCACTTCAGTTTATAAAAGGCATGTGTTTGAGAACATCAAATGTAAAATATTTTATAGAGTTGATTATGAAATGGTTACATAAGATCAGAGACCCTTAGCCATGGCCTCTCTGTTGGAAAATGCCCATTCCTGTTCTAATTGGAGCCCATCCAGTCCGGTGTCCTTTCCTCCGGCTGTTATAATTAATCCTGTGTGTACTGTACATTCAACAGGCCAGATGAGGAAAGACACTATATGGTTCCTTCAGGAGAGGTTAAGGATGTGCTTCGCATAGTCTTCATTCTTATTTAACACTCTCATGTTCACAATACAACAGCTCATGGGAAAAGGAGAAAAAATGGAGGAGTAACACAATAAGGAGTTCACAAGAGAAAAGGGATTTTGACACTTTCCTCGTCCCCAACTTCTTCCTTGCACGGACACTTAACATTTACACAGGGAAATGATGTCAGAAATGCTGAAGGTTATCACAAGTTATGACTAGCAAAATAGCTAGATTCTAGTGGGACGCACAGTATACAATAAACCAGCCCCATTAATGTCGTTCTGCCCTTTAGAAGGACACTTGAGGATGTAGGTGGACTATATTTTGTTTTCCTTTGTGCTACTTTGGGACTTCTCATTACGCTACATGCATTATTATTTACTTTATTTTGTCATTTTCAGTTTTTCTTCTCCTGTAAACTTTGTTTAAAAGATGATGCATTTGTTCTGTTCCAAAACCGCACAAAATTATGCCACTGTATCTAATTTTGACCTCGCTGTAGGGCAACATCACAAATACCCTTTATTGATAAGGTGATACCAGAATGCATTGCATTGAAGTCTGTTTATTATAACATTCAATCAGTGTTTAAATTATTTGAAACATTCACATACATTCATAACTGTTTATTTAGATATAATAGAGCTAATAGAGGAAAATATATGTTTTAATATTTCTATTTTTATATTTTCTGTACTGAAAATAGTTTCTTACAATTAAAAAAATGACCTTTTACCCAAATTAGAGCAAAGGATATTAGCTTTACAACATTATAGCGGCAGCCTACGCTGAATATTTTTTTTTGTCAGTACAACTTAGAAAATGTACTTCATGTTGTAACATAAAATAACTGGTTTTGTTGAGATAAAATAAATTATTTAAGATTATTGATTGTAACTGAATTCAAACACACTGTTTTACAGAAGTATAACTGATTACCTGATTTCTCCGCGATGGTAAAATTAATACTCTTCAGCACAATGGTAACCACAAAATTCCATAACAGAATGTCCAACATAACTGAACATTAAACATTAACATAAACTACAACTTTATCTTTTTCCCCTTTACTGAAAAACACATAAAATAACACTTAATCCGTAAATTTACTCTCCTAATGCAGTCCCTTGCAAAGCATGCTGGGAACTACAGATCCACTGCCAGGTTAGTTGTCAACAACAAATATTCATAGGCTAGTTTAAACACAAATGAATGAAGTAAACACATTTAAATATATTTGGTGAATTGGACAAAATAAAGTTGTGACAAAATAGTTAGTTAAACAAAGTAAAGTTTTCCAAAATAAAAATATTCAGATAAAGTAAAGATAGCCTACTTGTTTACTATACTGTATAATCATTTTTTTTTAAAACATATGCTTATTTTATTTTTAAAGTAAAAAGTTTAGTTTTTTGTTTGTTGAAGTTCTAAATAACTAAAACTAAAAAATCTAAAACTTGAAAAATTACAAAAACGCGCAACAAAAATGAAAACAAAATGGAATTCAACAAAGACTATAGTATACGAATGATACTAAAATAACACTAATTATGAGTTTCCATTTTGGTTGCTTATGTAGACGGTTTACATTGAGGCAGCTCAATAGATTTTGAATGTAATGTCAGTGGACTATATATTTAAAGGTTTTCATGGAAGTAAAGCCATTCAACTCCCTCATACTCTTTTTCTTTCTCTTTTTTAACACTGAGTACATGCAAGGTTTGAATTAGGGGGGTTAGGACATGTGTGCACTTCCAACTGTCATCTTTCACATCCCAAATATTTCTTTTTTCCTTTAAAGCCACAGGTTAAGGATGAAAAGTGGTTGTAATATGTTCCTGGAACTATGCCCTGCAAAAACACTCTCTTAAAGGAACACTCCGACTTTTTGGGACTTTAGCCTATTCACCTTATCCCCCAGAGTTAGATAAGTCCATACATACCTTTTTCATCTCCGTGCGTGCTATACGTCTGTTTGACGCACCCACCGCTAGCCTAGCTTAGCACAAAGACTGGATGTAAATGGTTGCAGCTAGCATACTAATCCAAATAAGTGACAAAATAGCGCAAACATTTTCCTATTTACATGTTGTGATTTGTATAGTCACAGAGTGTACAAAAAGCTACGTCACATGAGACACAGACATATTTTAACAGTATAAATACTGGGAACTATATTCTCTGAAGGCGAAGCACTGCTACTTGGGCGGAGTAATAACCGCAGCACCTGAGACGCGCCGTGGTGAGGAGCAGAGAGTTCGTTCAGAGTTTGGGTACGGTACGTCTCAGGTGCTGCGGTTATCACTCCGCCCAAGTAGCAGTGCTTCGCCTTCAGAGAATATAGTTCCCAGTATTTATACTGTTAAAATATGTCTGTGTCTCATGTGACGTAGCTTTTTGTACACTCTGTGACTATACAAATCACAACATGTAAATAGGAAAATGTTTGCGCTATTTTGTCACTTATTTGGATTAGTATGCTAGCTGCAACCATTTACATCCAGTCTTTGTGCTAAGCTAGGCTAGCGGTGGGTGCGTCAAACAGACGTATAGCACGCACGGAGATGAAAAAGGTATGTATGGACTTATCTAACTCTGGGGGATAAGGTGAATAGGCTAAAGTCCCAAAAAGTCGGAGTGTTCCTTTAATCATGTTTTTAATGGTTATGAGATTGTATACATTTATATGCA